AGTGCGGGTGTGTGTGTGTGAGTATGTGTGTGTGTGTGTGTGTGTGTGTGTGTGAGTGAGTGCGTGTGTGTGCGTGTGTGTGTGTGTGCGTGTGAGTGAGTGTGCGTGCGTGCGTGTGAGAGTGTGCGTGTGTGAGTGAGTGTGCGTGTGTGTGTGCGTGTGAGAGAGTGTGCGTGTGTGTGAGTGAGTGTGCGTGTGAGTGAGTGTGCGTGTGAGTGAGTGTAGAGTGTGCGTGTGTGAGAGAGTGCGAGTGTGAGTGAGTGAGTGAGTGAGCGAGCGTGCGTGCGTGCGAGTGTGTGTGTATGTGTGAGTGAGTGTGTGTGTGTGTGCGTGTGTGAGAGTGTGCGTGTGCGAGTGTGTGTGAGAGTGTGCGTGTGCGAGTGAGTGTGCGAGTGAGTGTGAGTGAGTGTGTGAGTGTGCGTGTGTGAGAGTGTGCGTGTGTGAGAGTGTGCGTGTGCGAGTGAGTGTGCGAGTGAGTGTGAGTGAGTGTGTGAGTGTGCGTGTGTGAGAGTGTGCGTGTGTGAGAGTGTGCGTGTGCGAGTGAGTGTGCGAGTGAGTGTGAGTGAGTGTGTGAGTGTGCGTGTGTGAGAGTGTGCGTGTGTGAGAGTGTGCGTGTGCGAGTGAGTGTGCGAGTGAGTGTGAGTGAGTGTGTGAGTGTGCGTGTGTGAGAGTGTGCGTGTGTGAGAGTGTGCGTGTGCGAGTGAGTGTGCGAGTGAGTGTGAGTGAGTGTGTGAGTGTGCGTGTGTGAGAGTGTGCGTGTGTGAGAGTGTGCGTGTGCGAGTGAGTGTGCGAGTGAGTGTGAGTGAGTGTGTGAGTGTGCGTGTGTGAGAGTGTGCGTGTGTGAGAGTGTGCGTGTGCGAGTGAGTGTGCCAGTGAGTGTGAGTGAGTGTGTGAGTGTGCGTGTGTGAGAGTTTGCGTGTGCGAGTGAGTGTGCGAGTGAGTGTGCGTGTGTGAGTGTGTGTGTGAGTGAGTGAGTGTGAGAGAGTGTGCGTGTGAGAGTGTGCGTGCGTGTGAGAGAGTGTGCGTGTGTATGAGAGTGTGTGTGTACGTGTGTGAGAGTGTGCGTTGTGTGTGTGAGTGCGTGTGTGAGTGAGTGCGCGTGTGTGAGAGAGTGTGCGAGTGTGCGTGAGTGAGTGAGTGAGCGAGTGAGTGTGTATGTGTGAGTGAGTGTGTGTGTGCGCGCGTGTGTGAGAGAGTGTGCGTGCGCGTGTGTGAGAGAGTGTGCGTGAGAGAGAGTGAGAGTGAGAGAGAGTGTGTGTGTGTGTGTGTGAGTGAGTGAGTGCGTGCGAGTGTGTGTGCATATGTGTGAGTGAGTGTGTGCGTGTGTGTGAGTGAGCGTGTGTGCGTGTGTGAGTGAGTGTGCGTGTGTGAGAGAGTGTGCGTGTGTCAGAGAGTGCGAGTGTGAGTGAGAGTGAGTGAGCGAGCGAACGTGCGAGTGAGTGTGTGTGTATGTGTGAGTGAGTGTGTGTGTGTGTGAGTGAGTGAGTGTGTGTGTGTGTGAGAGAGTGTGAGTGTGTCTGTGTGTGTGTGTGTGTGTGTGTGTGTGTGTGTGTGTGCGCGAGTGAGTGAGTGTGCATGTAAGTGTGTGTGTGCGAGTGAGTGAATGTGCGTGTGCTAGTGTGTG